AAAAAAAAAAAAAAAAAGGAAGAGAAGTAATAGCATGTACAAGCCAGGTTAGCTGCCATTGTCTGCCAACCTTTCTAGATCAAAATCTACTGTCTACCTGAGACTCAAAGATCTATACACTATGTAGGAAAGTAGGTAGGAATGAAAACTATAGGAAATGTATATGATTGGATTACTCATTAAACAAACTTTAAAAATGGAGGAAACTAGAAGGCTGTCACCTGCTATATTCAATTAAGTATCTGATGAGTGCTTATTATGTTCAAAGCATTGTGCCAAGTGTTGCAATAGGAATTTAATACTTTAAGAAATAATACCTTTTATCAAAGAGTCACCGTCTAGATGGGGAGGCAAGAGATTCTTAATATAAACAGTTAATCAAAATGAAAACCAGTATTTAATTAAGTGCTGAAATACCTGAAACAGGTAATATATGCTAAGGGTTGAGATAATAATCGGGTAAGCTTAAATGTGCCTCAGAAAGGTCACCAAAGGATTCTCGGGAAAGGTAGTCCCTGAGCAGTTCTGCAACAACCAGTAAGTAATTCTTTGGTGGGTGGGGGGAGGATAAAAGATAGGATAAAAGTCCCAAGTAAGTCATGATTCTGAACTAGAAATGCCCTGGCTACCAGCAAACAGTCTGTGTTTAAAGACTAAAGCTAAAAAGGTAGGAAAGCAAATTAATATATGCAGAATTTTTTTGAAAGATTCTACTTATGTATTTGACAGAGAGAGAGACAGCAAGCACAAGCAGGGGGAGCTGCAGGAAAAGGGAGAAGCAGGCTTCCCGCCGAGCAGGGAGCCCGAGGCGGGGCTCAATCCCAGGACCCTGGGATCATGACCTGATCTGAAGGCAGACACTTAACTGACTGAGCCACCCAGGTGTCCCAGTATATGCAGAATTTTGAATGTCTAGAATATCTAGACTGGATTTCACCTTACAAGCCCTATGTAATCACTGAAGGTTTTCAAGCTAAAGATACCAGATTTTAGGAAGATCAATTTGGTGACAATGTGCAGTATTGTTGGGAAGAGAGAAACAATGGAGATGGAAAAGTATAAAAAAGCCGTCATCCTAGTTCTACTGTGAAGGGGTAAGAGTCAGGAACGGGGTGAAGGGAGTGAGAAGGTAATACAAGTCATGGCCCTAAGAAACAGTCTCAAGCCAACACTCAACAAGGACTTGCTGGCAGACGTCACAGCAGAGGAGGAGCACGGGAGCAAGTTACACAGGGGTCAGGAGAGGATAAACCTCTGAGAGAAAGAACAAGACGAAGAGAATGGAAATAAATGTAGAAACAAGAGCACACAGAGGTGAGAAAGAGACTAGAAGAGAGAGCTCACCAAGATGGGCTCCAAAGTCTTCGAAGTAAAATAGAAAAAAAGGAATCTGCGAGAAGAAGGGGAGAAGCCCAGGGTGAAGGGGCTCATCCTCAAATTCATAACCTCTGCAGGGTTTCCGGTTCTCTTCCAGAAATACCTAAGTACATGTTCATATAACCACTACAACACGCATGGTTGAACCGAATCACACATATCTCTGGGAAACAGTGGACTAATGAGGAGCCCA